CCTCCTTCCACCTGCTGGTTCTGCTTCTTTTGATGCAGCCCACAACCCAAACCACATCCACCCAACACTTGGGTCCCATGACAAATAATGCCCGGGCTGAGTTACACCCCCCTTGTCACTAACCCAAGCCTGGAGGGTCACAGGCCATCACCTCTGCCCCACCATCCCACCACAACACTGTTTTTGAGCCTCTAAGCTTAGTCCAGATCTCTGATTTCTTTTCTCAGAGCGTGCGGGCCTCTGGGTTTCCCACCATTACTGAGCTGGTGGGATAACTGGGGCCCTTTTCTGCCTCCAGGCCAGCAGCAGTGGTGAACCCCTCCGGCACCAGGGCAGCCCCTACCCACGGAGCCCCACCACACCCCTCTCTGGAAGAAGGTGCTCACACCTTACCGCTGCCCACCACCATGCATAGGGGATACTGGTGAAGTTGGTGCCTGGGACATCATGTTCCACAGAGTGCATGAGAGCGGAGAAGGTGAAGACCCCCATGGCGATGAAGAGGAGGAGACAGCAAACCTGCTGGTAGCACTGGCGCATGGTGAAGCCGAAGGCCCGGAGGCCGGTGGAGTGACGTGCCAGCTTGAGGATGCGGAAGATCCTCATGAGCTTGATGAGCTTGAGGACTTTGCCCAGCTTGCTCACATTCTCCACTTTGTGCAGTTCTTCATGGTAAAGCGTGTCTCCTTCATCCAGATTTTCAAAGAGGATCTGGACGTAGAAGGGCAGGATGGCCACCAGGTCTACAGCATTAAACGCTGCCCGCAAAAAGTTCTTGAAGCTGGAGGAGGATATGAGCCGCATGAGGTATTCGGAGGTGAAGAAGATGGCACAGATCATCTCCAGCTGCTCCATCCACATCTTCCCCGTCTTGTGTTTCATCTCCTCCACTGTGCTCAGCGTCATGCCCACGATGGAGATAAGCACAAAGAAGCTTGACATGACAGCAATGATCTTGGCTGGGACAGAAGAGTATGGGTTCTCAATGAGGTTCCAGATCATCTTCCGAAACCGTCCCAGAAATTTGCCCTCAAAATGCTCTGCTGAGTCCAGGGGCTCCAGCTCTGCCTCCAGCTCCTTCTGTATTTTCAGGTACTCGCTGAGCTCATCTTGCTTTTCCTCAAACAGGATCCGGCAACAGCGCTGGGAGTATTTCAGATGGATTCCCCAGTACTCGATTTCCTCCACGAAGTTACTGGGGCACACCTCATCCATTATCCACAGGACACCGCTGCGGTAGAAGTGGAAGATGTAGTAAAAAATCGAAGGATCTCTGTCAAAGAAGTACTCGTTCTTCTGCACTGAGTAGTCATCGCAGAGCTGCATCTTCTTCATAGGGTCTGTATACAGGGCCAGCTTCCCCAGCCTGGTGATGGGATACCGGGCCACTGCATTGTAAGCTATGTAGAACAATTTGCCACCCACGTTAATGTTGAGCAAGTACTTGTTCCTTTGGATGGGAGTCTTGCTTTTCTCCTGGTTTCTGTCTGTCACGTTCTGCAGAGAGCTCCATTGCTTTACCAGGCTGTCCTGCGCAAACGGGATGTGAGCTTCCTCTTCCTCCGGTGTTCGGCAGCAGCCCCAGCGATCCCCTGTCTTCAGGCTGGCAGAGAGACTCGCACGCCTTGTCCCCAGCTGCCTCATCGTGCCTGACCCTCCAAAGCAGCGATTCCCGTTACGGGCCGTGGGACAGCAGCTCTGGCTTCATGGGAACGCTTCCACCAGGCCCGTGATGACTGGGACAAGTGCTGCGAGCTCAGAAGAGCAGTGGTGAGATGCTGCCCAAGGGACACAGACCATGTGGCACCTGCCAGCTTCCCAAAGCCGACTGCTTATTAGATTGAGGTTTGCATCGTAGGAGTCGGAGGCAGCTAAGTGTCCGCTCCTTAAGACAATAATGAGATTGAAGCACTAGCCCTTTATGTAAGGAACTATTTCCAGCTCTGCACTTCTCCTTTTCCTTATTCTGTTCTTATAAGTCGTTTATGTTTGTCACGCACTACCCTGTTTCCAAGGGGGGCGTCCATGACAGCAGGTTGAAAAGGGAGCATGAACTTGCCTTGATCTGACCTTGAAAGACCTCCCCTGCCAGCCCAGACAGGTGCAGACACGCAGGATTTGTATCAGCTTTGTACCACCACAACAGATGCTGCTCTTGGCACCAGTCACTTGCTAAGCACACGAGCGCTAATGCAGCTGTCCCGGCTCCACCAGCTGTCACAGCCCAGGGAAGGGAAACGGTTGTTACCTCCCAGCTCACCCCTCAAAACCCCACAGTCCAGATTTACGGGGGAAGAGGTGAAGGAACCATCTCACCCTCCACGCAGTGCCTGAGCGGATCCCCAACGTGACAGGTTGCTCCGGCACCGCTGCCCTGTGCCACCAGCCTCCAGCCCCGTTACTCCCACAGGCAGGGGCAGGAACATGGAATGGGTCTCTGGAAACACAAGTATGCAGCAAAAGTTCCTCTGAACTACAGGAAATGAAGAGGAGGGAATTATCCTTCTGATTTGTTAGTAAAATGGGAACCAAAATTAACCAGGCCGATCTTTGATGTCTCACCCTGGAACACAACCTTCCCTCAGCTTGTAAGACATCACATCAATTTCCATCAGCTGATCTAATTAAATAGAGAGACCTGGAGCACAAAGCTGCTCCTAGGCTGAAAAGCAGCTCAGGCTCCACTACAATGGAAGTCTCTGAGCCTGGAGATTAGGACAACCAAAATGCTTCTGGCACCAAACAGAGGAAGGGAAATTGCTGTCACAAACACAGCCCCAGGTTTTGGCACAAGACCCATAAAAATGTTTTTCTTTCAACCCCGAAGCATTCAGCTCAGGGCTCAGTAAGCAAAACCTGCATGATCTTGCAGGGGGAAGAGGCTGTGACTGCTGAATTTACCCATCGGCTTTGCTCCCCGTCACACAGAGCAAGGGACTCTGCCCCGTGTAGCAGAAGAGCATGCCTCAGCTCAGCAGAGAGGATGACCTGGGACAGGCTGGTGACAGCTGACCTCTGCCTCCTGGTCCTGACAGCACCAGCTCTTCTGTCAGCCCTAGCTCAGCCCCGGCCTGATGGAATTTCTGAAGCACCTTTCTGCTGTACAGGGCTCCCCACTCCTTTCACTTGTGCTAATGAAGAAGGAAGAATCTTACACCATCTTAAGTTTTTCACTTTACTCTTGGCTAAGCTTTCCACTTGTCATCTACTCTGCAGTAGCATGCCTGGTGCCAGTGCCAGCTGTTCCTTTTGTCTCTATCCACTCCGTTCACTCTGCTCCTTGTATTTCACATTTTCTACTACAGCTGACACGTGCTGGAGTCACTTCAGTCCCAGGCAGGCACAGCAGCACTTGCTTTCCCTATCTGCCCGTGCCAGCCCACCCACCACAAGTCCTCTTTCCCAGGACGTGACAATCCAAAGGTGGTGCAGCCCCCCAACTACAGAATTCAAGCAAATGCACAAAACCAAGAAAGATAAAAAAATCCAGAACGCATTAAATTCAAGTTCTTTATTCTCCTGTGTCATTCACCAACAGCTATCTCCGCTCGTCCCTGTGGAAGCAGCAGCCAGGTTGTCTGCACTTTTGCAAATTACCTCTTGGTACTGACAATTGCAGCACTGGAATAACTCAGTACTCCACCCCACATACAGAAGTTCCTCCCGTGGGGCACAACAGCACACGCACATACTAGCCAAGAGTGGAAGACTCCTGCTGTAAGGCTCATGGCTTGGTCTGCTTGGCAAGCCAAGTGTCCACCTCTAAGGCACAGGGATCAGCAGCCGAGGCAGCAGCTTTCTATCTTCTGTGCAGTTAGTGAACACTTGTGCAAGGAATACATGGGCAACACTGAACTCCAGGCACTGGTCAGTAATCTCTTCCCCTCACTGCCAATCCTTCTGAAACATGTACAGCATTCAGAAAGAGCTACACATGCCACGACATACAGTGTTTGATCCAAGACACGAGTTATTTCAAGCTGAAAGGAGAAAAAAAAAAAAAAAAGCCAGACCTCATAGAAACACAGAACGGTTTGGGCTGGAAGGGCTTTCAAAGCTCACCTATTTCCAACCTCCCTGCCATGGATGATGGGGCACCCACTTCTCTGGGCAACCCGTTCCAGTGTCTCACCACCCTCACCATAAAACATTTCTTCCTTATCTACCCTCTTTCAGTTTATAACTGTTGCCCCTTGTGCTGTCACTACAGGCCTTGGCAAAGACACAGAACAGTTTGGGCTGGAAGGGCTTTCAAAGCTCACCTATTTCCAACCTCCCTGCCATGGATGATGGGGCACCCACTTCTCTGGGCAACCCGTTCCAGTGTCTCACCACCCTCACCATAAAACATTTCTTCCTTATCTACCCTCTTTCAGTTTATAACTGTTGCCCCTTGTGCTGTCACTACAGGCCTTGGCAAAGAGCCTCTCTCCCTCTTCCTTACAAGCTCCCTTTGTGCACTGAATGGACACAATAAGATCTCCCCAGAGCCTTCTCTTCTCCAGGGATTATCCCAGCCCAGCTGCAGAACCTTGCACTTGACCTCACTGAACTTCCTGAAGTTCACACGGGCCTACTCCTCCAGCCTGAAGGTCCCTCTGGATGGCATCCCCTTCCTCAAGTGGATCAACTGCACCACTCAGCCTGGTGTCATCCACAAATATACTGAGGGTGCACTCGATCCCACTGTACACACCACCGATGAAGATATTAAATAGCATTGGTCCCAGTATGGATCCGTGAGGGACACCACTCCTGTCAAAACAGTTTTAGGGAGGACACCTTTGACAGTGTTAGAGAAGTAACATCATCCAGAGTTCAGCATTGGGGTGGAAAGTGCATCTCTGCAAAGGGCTGCAATACTTGCTGGAAGAGAGCGTGCCAAGAAGCTGCTTGCCTTACGCTGACTCAGGGTGGCAGTGCAGCAAAGCCAGAGCAGACAGGAGCTTTTCAGCTTTCACCCCTGTTGTTAACCAGTCAGTAACAGCTTCCTGTACATTGGATTGAGTAGCATCAAAACATTAGTGCAAGCATGGAGCCTGCTCTGTCTGATCTGTGTGGAGTCAGTGAGCTCCGACTGAAACAGAGAAGAAAGCCCCTATTCCCTGACAAAATCCAGGGGGAAGAATGTGGCAGGTAGAAAAAAGTCTCTTGGTTGTAAGTGGAAGAAACCATTGAATAGCACCTAGCACCTGTCATTTCATGGAGAATAAAATCTTTGGGTCCAAGGCCACACAGGTGAGAATCAGCATTAACAACCTCCGAAGGCAAGAACAATGAAGAAATTTCTACCACCTTTGTGAGGGGTGATGTCACAGCACCAGGGAAGGTCCTGTGCTATTTCCAGTGCCAAAGTAGTCCCACAATCTAAGACCCATTTCCAAGGGGAGTATCCTTTTGTTATTCCAGTGGCAAACAACCCAGATTTGAGGTCTTATGTCCAATTCAGTCAGCCTCTGTAGTGAGCAGGAGGGAGAGCACGTTAGTCCCATCTTATCACCTTACAGTAAAGATCCCTGTTACAAGAACAGAAAACCACCTGGTTACTGACAGTCCTTTGGGCAAAAACCTGGTTTGACTTCAGTTTGCGTGTGCAAAGTGGAGGAAAACAAGCCACAGCAGAAGGTCAATATTTTAGCATGGGTGCTCAGTGTCCTTGGCAGCAGAGGAAGGACAGAGACCAGCAGATTAGGCCGTGCAACTATCCCTGCAGTCAAGCAAGAGCCTTCATGCCTGATTGTGAGGAAGGAAGGTAAGGCAAGGGTTCTGCTGCTTCAGGGCAGACTGAAATCCCAATCACGTGGCTGCCCAGCAGCAGGAACAGCTGGGAAAAGAGGGGAAAGCTCTAGAGGCTAGAAACATAGGACAAGAGAGTATTTCTCCCTCGTGCATACAGAGCACATGGGGTGCAAGAAACTTACCTTCAGGGAAATGAGCCTGTCACGCTCTTGTCAGGAATCAGTTGTTCCTTTGATGCTTTTTCAAGACTGAAGATGTCAGGTCTGCTTTTTGCTGTAGACAGGCCCCACACAGCAACAGAACCCACAGCTACCAGGATGCTGAGGAGCACTAGAGAGAAGAAAGCACAAGCAGAGAACCACTCACCACATCTGGTCTGGACATCAGTACCAGGCTCTGCCGCTCAACAGCATTAGCAAACAGCTAGAGATCAGCAGCTGCCATCGAGGACAAGGGACAGAGAAAGGGGAAGTGAGCTGGTGCCAGATCACATGGAATGGCCTTTCCAAGGACATAGTACATCCAGGTCAGAGGAAGTGGCCTCTCTTAGCCCTCCTACCCCAGCAAATACAAGTACTGATACACATATGGAATTAACTCCACCAGAATACTCAATTTATAGTCCAAGCCAGGACCAAGACCACGTGCAGCACTCCAAGTCTCACATACCTGCAATAATCAAAATCCATGTGCAGCCTTGACTCCTTGATGGCACAGAGTCCCCAGGCACAGGTGTAGCTGAAGCCTCTGCGAGGAAAGAGCAACAAGTCCACGAGGCTTCTAACTCACCTTATAGTCAGCATTCAAAGCACTCTCCAATCCTAACCTGGCTGAGTTCCCGGTTCACCTCAAGAGTGCAACAGACCTTTTTCAGTTTAAACAAAACCTTATCTGCCGTTACTAAG